ATGGAGGCAAAGTAAACCTGCTAAAATAATTAATCTATATGTGGATGGAGGCAAAGTAAACCTGCTAAAATAATTGGTCTATATGTGGATGGAGGCAAAGTAAACCTGCTAAAATAATTGGTCTATAATGTGGATGGAGGCAAAGTAAACCTGCTTAAGTTCTTGGTTTATATATGGATTAAAACTGAACTATCTAATGAAAAATTAGATTTTTACATTACTGACTGTTACTGATATGTAATCGTGTAATTTTATGTAATTTTGATTAAATAGGAAACTGAATTTAGAGACGGAAGTTCTTTGTCTATATGTGATTGGAGGCTGACACACGTATTTTAACAAGCGAAAATTCAAAGTAACACGGAGATAAAATATTCGAAAACTTCACATTTTAGTTGTAACTTCCGATATGTTCATCATACCGGTTTTTTGATCAACCATTGCAAAATCATAATCTGTGCTGCTTGTTTTGATTTACCAGTTATACTCTCAACATTGGGAAACAAACAAACAAAACACTACTGGACAAATGTGTATGTGTGTGTGTGTGTGTGTGTGTGTGTATCATATTGTATGTTGTCTCTGTATTGTTTTGTATATATGTTATGACTGATAAGTCAACCGACTTAAAGTAATAAAGAACTTGAACTTGAATACAGAACTTGTGTGGTGTTCGATCACACCTCTAACCCCCTTAGAGCACAGGTCTGTTATTTCAACCGGCAGGTGTGATATGCTTGAATCTACCTGAAACTATGCTAGCTGACCAATCGCGAACCGTCTTAATAAATCAGTCTCGAAGGATCGGAACTATATCCAATGTGTACAGGTATCGTCCTCCTTTGTGACTGAACTGAACTCTAAGAAGTACACGATCTACATAAACCACATTATTATAATTTCAGCGCAAAAGAGAAACAAACAATCTTTATTACGGAAAAAACAAAGCAGTATACACGAAGAAAACCCGCTCTGTGACGGTAAGTGGTTTTTTTTATAAAAAAAATAATCAACGTATATATATATATATGTATATGAGGTAAGGAAATTGTCAAATTTTCGGACCAATCAGCACCTTTATCGAGACACAGAAAAAATAAACACGAAACGATGACATAAAAACAATAATAGATATATAAATTATATATACAAAAACAAACAAAATGACCTCTTTAGAGATTTATCATGGGAACTGAATTGTATTTATATATAACAAGGGTGAGAAACTGACTGAAAAAATAATTAACAAAGGCCGCTTGCGGACTGAATTGTTTAATATCAACATTTTCGAACCTCGAGTTATATTTTCCAGGATACCATAAATAATTATATGTATTTTACCAAGTAAAATATAATGGGAATGGTTTTGTGTCTACCTCAGTGTCCAGAAGCAATAATAAGCAAAGCAACCTAGATATTACAATTAGGCTGTTCAATTGCACGGACTAACATTTGTCACGTGATGCCTGTATGTAAATGCATTGGATGTTCTATCGGCAAATTAGTATCAAAACTTATATTAGGTATAGTTGTGTGACCGCACAACGCACCAAAAATAGCGTGCGCACAACGTGCATACATCGTGCACACACCGTCCGCACATCGTCCACACATGGTGCGCACAACTGTGCGATTTAACAATCGTTCGCCCTGTTGTGCGCTTCTCTCCGCACAACTGTGCGATTTGGTAATGTTTACCTGTATACGGGATCGTGTTGTAAGTTTACATGTGTCGATTAAGTTTGTTTAAAAACACAGAAAACACAATTTCTAAAAATAAGAATGTATAGGCAGAAAGATAAGTTTATAGATGTAGCTAGAATATAGAAACATACGTAAAAATCAAGTTTATATGTTTGAATCGAACACGAAACCATATAAATTGTTAAGGCACTCCTCAATTTACACCAACCACGATTGTTATCGCACAACGTCCATCGTGCGCACAGATAATTAAAACTCAAATGGAAAGAATAAACATGAATTTACGTTTATCACCAAAGCAAGTTTGGCTTCAGCAATTGGTGTGTTGGAGTATGAGAACGGTGTCGTTAAGACGGGCTCAGGTGTCTGATCTCTGTATGCAAAATTCTCAACAGACAATCTACAAAATCAAATCTGAAATAGATACATGACTCTCATAGCCTTAAAGTATGTGATGTGTTGATTTACATAAAGATAGTGATGGTAATGGTTTATCTAAGGCATGAAATAAATTCGGAAGAGTAGAGAGTCCAAAGCTAAAATACAAAAACAAATCTTCGTTTTCTCTTATCGGAAAATGTATTTAGACCCATATCGTGAATACCTTGACATTTGTATATACATGCAGACGTAGCTACTTTCCAGTTAATGATTTGTTTATACATTCTTATGTATTTTGTTAAAACCACATTAATTGGTTTTCAATAATGATGGCATTAACACCCGAACTAGTAGATACCGGCCGTCGTTAGATCTACAATGTATAGTCATTAAGCCACGGATATCAACAAATGGCTGACAAGTTCCGTTGAAAGGTGAGGTCAACATTTGGCCCCCACTTTGATTTCTTTTATTCTGTTGCCATATGTAGATACATAAAAATGATCAATAGCTGCATAAATGATTATTCATAATTACAACTGATAACCGTAGTGGACCTCCTTGCACAACACCAGGTTGAATGATAGTGGTATCCTAACAAAATGACAGGTAAATGCCACAGGCGAATGTTATTTTGAAAATGAGTTACGGTAGTGTACAGAATACATACTTACTGTTATTTTGATACTAAATATGTCATATTTGTTTTCATGAAATAAGCGTAGTGATACTTTTATAAGAAAAACTTGCAAAATTTTCACAAAATTTAAAATATAACCAACATTGTCAACTTGCCTATCTATATTGTTACAAAAGTAGTCTATATTTTAAACTTCTATAAAAGCTTTCCATATATGTATTCTGGCTACAGAATCATTTTTTTTATATATATAATATCAAAACCGGTAAAGTACTTTTTTAGCATGCCAAACATGATCAATGCCACATTATCATGGGGATTTGGTTATTAATGTTTATCATGTCAAATACCGATACATTTTCTGTTTTTGTATCATACCAAAACACTTTATTATATTACGCATGCTTTAAAATTATGTGAAGCAGTAAAAACTCATTCCGAACATGTATTCTGCCATATTAATCTTTCCTCTGGAGAACTACTTAAGGTTGAGATTGTGTTATAGACAAAGTTATGCAACTATTTAGAAACAATAAAAAAATCTTAATAGTAAAAATATTATACATTTAACTATACCCTCGCAACGAAGTTAGGTGGGTATACTGGAATCAGCTTGTCTGTCCGTCTGTCTGTAGAAAACGTTTGTCCGGACAACGCCTTCTAAAATAATGGACCAATTACTACCACCTGAAGTTGTGCATCCTGGTATTATTTTTTTAATCTGACCTTTTTTACGGAGTAATGGCCCTTTGTTCAACAATACTTGTCCACCCAAATCCTCCAAAACTATGGGGCCAATTTCAACGGAAGTTTACAGGTATGGTAACTACCCCTTGCCATTGTGCGTCTAAGTAGTATGTTTTCATTTCGACCCTTTAAAAATGAGTTATGGCCTTTGGGTGAAAAAAACTTTGTCTGCCTCAGATTTTTTGTCTGGCCGATTTCAATGAAAGTCTACAGATATGGTAGTTACCCCCTGATGTCGTGCATCAGAGAAATATTTTTTCATTTATAAATATTTGTCCTGACAACTCCTCCTTAACCACTAGGCCGATTTAAACAAAAGTGGTTTATTTGGGATAACAAGATCTGGTTTGCAAGTATGTTTTGGCATGGGGAGGGAGTACAGGAAGTATGTCAGTGACCTATATACTTAAATAGGTGTACAGCTCAGTCAATAAAGAAATCATAACTGGTGGGAGGCTATGGATTGATTTGCAATGCTTTGCTTTAGTTAGCCTTTAGCTTACAGTTTTGGTTTATATAGGAGCGGGGGTATTATCTAGCCTTTGGCTTACTGATCTAGTTATTATTTCATTTTGCCTACTACCCATTCATTAAACAAAACATGAAGGAGTATTACATTATTTTATATCGTTAACTCTAAATAAAGAAAGAAAGAAAAGATATCCTTGTCTGACTCCCTATACAAAATTTGTTTTAGCACATTTGAATTTTGTGACTTTGAACGCAGGTCAAGGTTATCAACGTTTACAAAAATTAAATCCAATCACATGAACAACCTACTTGCCAAATATCAAGACCGAGGGACTTTTGGTCATGAAGAAACACAAGCTTAAGGAAAAGTTGAAAGAAAACTATGGTTTTCTTTTTTGAGTCAAAAGTGTTTTATGACAAATTTACCGGTTGTATTTTTTTTTAAATTCCTGATGTTGAAAGATATTATCAGTAGCCAACTTTTAAGCTTACGGAACATAGACTCGTATTAGAACTATGTAAATTACCGTGTCAAAAATGGAAATTTTCTCATTCGTAATGAATTTTCACACACTTTTCTGCTTAAATCTTCAATAGAAAGGACAATTCCTTTCTGAAATAGTGTAATATTTGGTATCAAAATAACAGTAGGAGTATGTTTCACACGATGCTGATACAGTTTTATAGTAATCGTGTTATTTAAATGTTTTGAGAGGAATTGTACTACGGCCCCTTTAACACCCACACAGGTGTAAGCCAATGAGGTCCCACGTATCATCAAATGAATTCTGAAACTAACTGTTCCTGATTCAAGCTTCCTATAGCCACACCTTTTAGATTTATCTTGTTTTGAAATTCCAAGCGGAGGCCGATGCTTTTGTTGAAACTCCATAGGCGTTGACCCTGTCTTTGGCCGAATACTAGACAATGGTCAACAGCCTTGGGACACGGCCAATATATTGTATACATTGTATACTGTAACAATACCAACATTTGAATTGAAAATAAATAAATCGTATTCTTGATCAAAACTTAATAGACACACAAGACTGCACAGTGCTGATCCAGGCAGGGATTGACGGAGCGACTTAGAGGAAAGGGGTAAGGCTATGTTTGTTAATTTTTAAAGATGATCAATGAAGTTTGTAAATTAACTTTCGAATTCTGCAGATGGTCCTGTATAGTCACTACAGTTAACGTGTGTTTTGATACATTTGTTTTTAAATATATACAATGCAAGGGTTGTACTTGTGATAATTTATTCCTCGTACACGTCTCCTACAGATACAGATCTAAATGGTCCCTGTATTTATAACCTGTGCATTAACTATCTGCCACTTATATATACTTGTACTTCGCCATTGCTTGGGTTGCAAGTAAATACAACTCAATTAAATTCAAATTAGTTTATTATAGTGTCACATGTAAAAGGTACAAGTATTACAATCTCTAAAATATGTCTACTCACCCACTCTTACATCCAGTCTTTATTAGACTTACGAGACACTCACTCTTCCCCTATCACTCAAGACTGTTAAAGTATTACATATATGTACATAAATATAAATTAAAAGTTTTGTCAATATTAAAATATAAAAATAATTGACATTAAAAGACACATAACTGCTTAATTATAGAGCAAGTTGCGACGCCGATAAAGAATATTAACACAGGTTTTGGCACAGGACCTCGCCAAGTAAGGGTTGCTTAGAAATACAACTAACTTTACTCATATTGTAAAAATCACTTGTGATTTTACTGACCTCTTGCAATAGACCCGATCGGAGATCATCATACAAGTTACATTCTATTAAAACATGACTCTCTGTTTCTACCACGCTTTTACACGCGAAACACTTTCTTTCACTCAAAGGTATTCTCTCATACCGGCCTGTTTCGATGCGTATCGGTGCAACCCCACACCTAAACTTAGCTAGCGCACTAAGATGTGATTTAGGCATTACTAACATATTCTAATTTTCTACCTCATAGTTAAACTTAAATAACCTGTACGGACCTCCAGAAATACAATTTTTGGCTCCGGGACGATTAAGTTTCTTTTTCAAATTTTCAATAAACAATTCCAAGCCACGGACCTTAACGTCCTTAAGTAATTTTTTTACTATTAATTGGACCTGTGCTATAGTTATCTAAGCCTAGCTCCCGGAGTCATACAGCATGGGGTCATACAACATTTATACTTTCAGTGACGTCGGTAATTAAGTTCGTGTAAAATTTAGAATATTTTTTTTAATCGATTGTCTTACAGAAATATTTGCATTGCCCGTTTATCTTAAGTGTTTACATATCTTAATAACATTTCTTTTAATCAAGAAATAGGCATCTATACAATGCCATTGTTTACAAGTGCCTGTGTTTTTCTCATATGACAACAATGCCCTTTGTTCATATTTTCGGACAGGTGGAATATGTCTTCCAATACTACCAAGTCTCCAACAGATGGAATTCGTAAACGAAAAACCTTCGCCGGTGTCATGACCCGTTTCGCCGGAAAGACATCAATGCAAGGTCCCTCCTATATTCTTTCGGCCAGATTGCGAGGTGCTAAAATAGTGTGGACGATATTACTGGTGCTAGCCCTAGTGGCCATGGCATTTCATCTGTATTATTTGTGTCACCAGTACTTCTCCTGGCCTAAACAGACATCCGTGGAACTGGGCTTCAAGAATCTACAGATGCCCGCTTTAACTTTCTGTAATGTAAATCCGGTGAGAAATTCCGAGATCATGGGTTTAAGTGACAGCGACCCTCTCAGAGCTTTGGTCGATGCAGTCGACCCCTCTGACCTAGATCCCCGTTTAACAGACGCATATAAAGGGATCAGTAGCACAAACACGCAGGTAAGATAAATTAATTATTACGACAAAAGAAAGCAGCGCGTTATAGCCTAGGGAAGAATTGCTTTGAATATCTTCTTTTGCCAAAGAAAGTAAATGGCCCACCACTATAAAGGAGCCATCTCGGTCAGTCAACAGTGTAGAACAGTAATCGTTAATATCCATGTATAAAGTACAAGATACATAACAAGACACAAGCAATTTTATTTTTCGTTAAATATTGCAAATATACAATATAGCTACATTTGGGTACAGGGAGCTGTATTAACATAGCATGTAAAAGTATATAAAAACATCAAAATAATAGTTTCTATTACGTTCCTACAGTTTCCCCATATGTAAAGGAAAGCTGAACAAACTCTATATTACATTAAACAAACTCTATAACACTAACGTCAACTCACTACCAAACTCTATTACACTAACGTCAACCTACTACCAAACTCTATTACACTAACCTCAACTCACTACCAAACTCTATTACACTAACCTCAACTCACTACCAAACTCTATTACACTAACGTCAACCCAATACCAAACTCTATTACACTAACCTCAACTCACTACCAAACTAAATTACACTAACGCCAACTCACTACCAAACTCTATTACACTAACCTCAACTCACTACCAAACTCTATAACAATAACGTCAACTCACTACCAAACTCTATTACACTAACGTCAACTCACTATCAAACTCTATAACAATAACGTCAACTCACTACCAAACTTTATTACACTTACGTCAACTCACTACCAAACTCTATAACAATAACGTCAACTCACTACCAAACTCTATTACAATAATGTCAACCCACTACCAAACTCTATAACAATAACGTCAACTCACTACCAAACTTTATAGTATTAACGTCCACTCACTACCAAACTCTATTACGCTAACGCCAACCCACTACCAAAGTCTATAACAATAACGTCAACCCACTACCAAACTCTATAACAATAACGTCAACCCACTTACAAACTCTATTACGCTAACGCCAACCCACTACCAAAGTCTATAACAATAACGTCAACCCACTTACAAACTCTATTACACTTACGTCAACCCACTACCAAACTACATGTATATTACAGTTATGTCACCTCAGATAACAAACTAGATTTAACATGTCTAGAAATCTTTATGAAACATGTCCCCAGTGTTTCATTACGCTTTCTGTTATATATCGTGACTAATGATTGAAATTGTAGCCCCAAGGCAAGAGGAAGAAACGTTTCACCAACTCCCTAGAGGAGCTGAACTTAACATCAAGTAAAAACAAGCCCCTTGACGGCGTGACGGCTCTGGAACGTGAATTTGAACGGTTATATATGCAGGAGAACAGTTGAGAGTTTCACAAACCGTTATCTCTTACCTTGACATAACTTATTATCTTTAATTAAACATCTAGAATTATTTAAATCTGAGCGGAGATTAAGGAATGACATGTATGTTACCTGTTCTGTTCTGTTATAAGTGTATTTCCCTGTATGTAAGAGAGCCATCACTATCTGGTGATGGTGTACGCACGTATACAGTACGTGTATATTGGAGGTTGTATAGGTGGTCTGCTTGTTATGGGTAGTATTTCAAACGAGTCATGTGGCGTTTAATACCACAGCACAGCAATTGTATAATACCCAACCCAGACCATACTTAACTACACTGGCAGATGATCTGAAGGTAAAAGACACTGCTCGTGGAACAACCTAAAGCGCTGCTGTCTGCGCAACCTGATCGTACACCATTATGAGTCAGAGTAAAACACACTTGTTTGTCTATGTGGTGCCTGGATATTACGGGATGCAGCATGACTGGTTTAAATGTGGTGCAGGGGAAGTTAATCAGCCGGAAGCACTTTGTTAAGACCTCTGATTGTTAAGGTTGTGTTTATAATGTCTGTCCTTGTTTCTGTCTCCCCGGTTCCTTATTTTGTCTGTTTATATCGACATTGATATCAGATTTTGTCCCGGTATATTGACAATGGGCCTGTTCGTTTATGCGGCACGAACCGGTTTGTCAATTTTTAAATGTAATGTTTTCGGGTATAAATCAAGGCATTGCGAGGCTGTGTCAAGGCTCGCATGAAAGCAGCATTATATTACTTGGTCCAACCTTATTCCATAAACGAACACCTCATGTCCCTCCGGTCAAACCGTTTGGATCGCTATAAACGACAACGGCCAATATTTAAACAAAAACCAATAGCTCTTGCCAATATTTCTTGACAGAGCGACTGGTGATATGTCGCTACCTCAGATACACGTATCTGGTAATGCATTATCATTATTGACATGTTTATCTGTATTGCAAACGAAACCTTCAGGATGAGACCCTGACGTTGCTTGTATTTACAGGGACACTCGCATTGCTCTAGGTCATTCTATTGAGGACATGCTTATCTACTGTTCCTACAAGGGACAAAGCTGCTTTTCCACGTATGTATATTTTTATGGTATTCTTCATAAAACATTGTAGGTATCTACACCATTTCTACAGCATAGAACTTTTTATTTACTACGCATGCATAACAGTTTCTACATCTCTAATTGTACATCGCAAAGCGTTATTTCTCTGGGGTTTTTCTTTTATATTTATTTTGACTCCAAAACATAAACCTCTTGCAATTAATGTAAACAAAATGTTTTAAAAACTTGGCTCTCAGTGGAGGGAAACAAAAACAGGCAATAAATTCTTATGTCTTAAATTATGAAATTGGCCGGAAATGTTCAAGCATAAATTGGGAAATATATAAACACTAATTCAAAACAACAAAATGTATACAGACATATTTTTGTCGTGGTAACTAGTAACAGAGATCGATAACGTATTTAGTAAATAAGTGTATAATACATTGTGTACTCTCCTCGTGTAAATTGATATCTTATTAAGACAATGTGAACTCTTATCGTGGAAATTTATATCTTGTATAAGACAATGTGAACTCTTATCGTGGAAATTGATATCTTGTATAAGACAATGTGAACTCTTATCGTGTACATTCATATCTTGTATAAGACAATGTGAACTCTTATCGTGGAGATTGATATCTTGTATAAGACAATGTGAACTCTTATCGTGGAAAATTATATCTTGTATAAGACAATGTGAACTCTTATCGTGTACATTCATATCTTGTATAAGACAATGTGAACTCTTATCGTGTACATTTATATCTTGTATAAGACAATGTGTACTCTTATCGTGTAAACTGATATCTTGTATAAGACAATGTGAACTCTTATCGTGTACATTTATATCTTGTATAAGACAATGGGTACTCTTATCGTGTAAACTGATATCTATATATACGTACTGCTTGTCTTACAGAAACTTCACCTTATTCAACACCCCTCAGTATGGAAACTGTTATACAATAGAATCCACCGATTTTATCAGTAAAGACTCTGGGCCTTCACACAGTAAGTCAAACAGCCCAGGTTAATCGTTTAAACGTCCCCAAGTCAAATCGTTTTTTGTGGATGCAAGATTATAGCTCAGTAGACGCCATGATGTGTACACTTATTTCGAAATAATGCAGAGGTACAAAAAATTTAACATCCCTTAAGGGTTTTTTGTTTCAGAGTTAATTTATTTTGTTTGAAAAACGGGGTCTGACTTTTGCTTCCTTAAGGGGTTTTTGATTGAATAAAATAATATTTCCATATGGAAAACACTTCCTTGAGGTCATAACAATAAATGTTTAAATCAACTTACTTTCAAATGGATATTTTTTTAAATACCTCTGTCACGGTTCGTATAAAAAAGCACAGTTTTATCACAAAGTAAGCTTCTTGCAATATACTTTTGTATACGATCACATTGTTATATAACGTGTGTAACTACATGTACATTCTGTGTGGCACCAATTAGAACAAAGGGAGATAATCAGGATTTAGTGACCAAGAGACAACCTGGTAATGCAGATCACGCGTCAGCTGATGGAGCATCTGATACAAAGATATAACAGCAATTCATAAGATGACTCTCTTTTTTATAAACGCCTTACGCCATGGGAACTCGGCACTGATCCTTTATTAAAGCTAAGCGCTTATGTTTGATAGGCTTGAAGCTAGTCCTGGATGTAAACTATCGGGATTATCTGAAAGGGATCACTCAAGGTTACGGACTCCGGGTGGATATCCATTCCCCGGGAACTATCCCCGACCCTCACAGAAATGGCTTCTACATCTCCACGGCGTTTGAAACAGATATAAGTTTAGAAGTGGTAAGTGAATTACTCAAGTGATAAAGACTTCTTTATCGCCACAATATTTGTAACAGATGTAAGTTTAGAAGTGATAATTTGCTTCGGTTTTTATGTTTTGATTAAAGCCTCTTAAAAACAGCTAAGGTCATTCAAGGACGTGCCTCCATGTGCGTTATGGGGGCGGTATTTGGTGTACTTTACTCCTTGCGATTGCGCAGATCTTATGCCAGTGGTATAATGCTACTAGACTGCAATACTATGCCAGAAGCACCCAGCACAGTATTCCACCTGGTCAGTGTATAGCAGGTAGAAGTAATCACCATTTATAAGAACATTTGCTGGTTTATGTCCTGGCCAAGGGTCAGTGCCAATCGCCTTCCTCATAGGCAAAAGTTCGGCAACACTGCCAAAAGTGAGGTAGTACCAAGGAAGGCGTTATAAAATACAAAGATCAATGATATGAGATTAGTTGCGAGTTGTCGCGTTATAAAAGCGTTTCCAATGTGCCAATAAACCGTTACCATTTGCTGAAACGGCTCATAGGAAAATCTTTGGTATAAAAGTGGGGTTGGATTGCTCTTCGTGTATGGTACCTCCCTCCCAACGTGTCTGGTACCTCCCTCTTTAGGTGTCTGGTACCTCCCTCTTTAGGTGTCTGGTACCTCCCTCTTTACGTGTCTGGTACCTCCCTCTTTACGTGTCTGGTACCTCCCTCTTTAGGTGTCTGGTACCTCCCTCTCAACGTGTCTGGTACCTCCCTCTCAACGTGTCTGGTACCTCCCTCTCTACGTGTATGGTACCTCCCTCTCAACGTGTCTGGTACCTCCCTCTCTACGTGTATGGTACCTCCCTCTTTACGTGTCTGGTACCTCCCTCTTTACGTGTCTGGTACCTCCCTCTCAACGTGTCTGGTACCTCCCTCTTTACGTGTATGTTACCTCCCTCTTTACGTGTCTGGTACCTCCCTCTTTACGTGTCTGGTACCTCCCTCTCAACGTATCTGGTACCTCCCTCTTTACGTGTATGGTACCTCCCTCTTTACGTGTCTGGTACCTCCCTCTCAACGTGTCTGGTACCTCCCTCTCAACGTGTCTGGTGCCTCCCCCTTTACGTGTCTGGTACCTCCCTCTCATCGTGTCTGGTTCCTCCCTCTCAACGTGTCTGGTACCTCCCTCTTTACGTGTCTGGTACCTCCTTCTCAACCTTGCTGGTGTGACTGTACATGTACGTGTACCTATCCTGCAAACCTTCCATGTCCATCGAAACATGTACGCTCCAACCACAGTGATGTGACAAATCTGTTAAGTTGCTGTACCTAATGTTTGTGTAAATATTGTTTTCATACGAAAGTGTCACATGTCAAAAGCTCCGTATAGTCACTTAAAACACCAACTGCAATGTATTTGGACTATTAAGCTTTCTTACATAAACATCATGATTAAATGGTGTACAGCCTTATGTACCGATCGTATCGCCTCTCCTTTTTTCATGCTCTGGTGATTAGCAATATATGTTGATTTATTAATTACTTGTTGCTGGTTTAATTACTTACTTATTTGACTACGATATGTATGATTTATTTATGTCGTTTGAAACATAATTCAAATATAGCTTATTTGACAAACAGTTCCATAAGTCAATGCTGTCATCATTATGATGGAAAATTATCATAATTTATTTTATATTTGGAATTATTTTGCACAACTACCTGAGGCTGTTCCAAAATCTAAATCTTTTAAATTGACATGCTGCTAGCAATACTTTGTCATATTGGAAACAAACAAAAGAAGTTTAAGTTACAGGAAACAAGAAACTTTAAAATTGCATACATGTAAACAAAGAACATTAGCTCTTGAGAGATATTATTGCGACAAACATATGTAAAAGGCATTAATAATAATAATAATAATAATAATAATAATAATATACAACATTTGATATAGTGCCCTATCTAGCTAATATAAGCCACTCTAAAGCGCTTTACAGTACATAGATATACAATTAATACATTTAGGATATACAATGTTTGAGGAATTCGCAGGAGCTGCCATATCAGGCGCTAACTACTAGTCCTATGCCACCTGGCTAATATCTCCCTATGTGTGTTGTATGCCTGCGTGTGTGCTGGAGAGCTAGGATGTCAACATTGATAATTTTGTCTTACATGTGTTACGTTCTGTTGTGTCAGTTATCAGTATGGTATCGTGTAGCATGCTTTGTTTGTTTACAGTTAGACATCAATAGAATTGGCTATCCGTATGGCACGTGTGATCTAGGAACGTCGTTTCAACAGAAGTACAAAAGAAAATACACAAGAAAGGTAAATATGAAAATACAATGATGGGTAAGTAATCTCTAACATTCATCATTGATTCTAGTTGATATTAATCTGTTGATGCAGGTCTATACACAACTGAGGCAACTGTTTCGGTTTTGTATTTGTATGTGAAATATGTTCAATATATGTATACAAACTGTATATACATGAAAACATAAGTATGAAATGTTAGTTTTCGCCATGTACTTGTTTTAACCCGTGAACGAGAAGGATGATTTGATAAAAGGGCAAAACATATATTAAATGTTAACTTTATTTATAAAACTACAATTAGGATACATATATTACATGTATATTTAGTTATACAGTTGATTAAAATATATATTAAATCAACAATGAGGTATATATTGTACATATACAGTAAGCATTGTGAACGAATTGAACACTGAATGTATCTATATTGAACCGGAGATATAAAAATCGGAAGACGGAAACGAGACGTGTACACTCATCTATCCGTTTATGATAAGAGTGGGCTAATTTTCGGTTAAGAAATTAACCCCGAGTAAATTTAGTTTACATTAATGGCAAACTAGATTTATGGTATCTTGTGAGGTACTGAAGGGGTGAAATTATATATATTGTATGCCAAACTCAAACATCATTTGAATTTAGAAATCAAACATGGACGTCATCACCGGACTGATATGATCTTTTAAATGATAGAATTCACAAACAGAAAAGATTGGAAAACGCCGATAGTTTATCGAACATATCTGAGATAATTGATCAAAATAAAAAGTAAGAATTTAAACTTTTTTTTTTTTTTTAGATATCACTTCACTAAATCTTACGTTTATTCCAGGCTTGTCAGAACCTTTGTGACCAGAATCCTAGCCTTACATTCAAAATGTTTATTTCAGGCTTGTCAGAACCTGTATATTTCAGGCCTGTCAGAACCTTATATTTCAGACTTGTCAGAACCTGTATATTTCAGGCTTGTCAGAACCCGTATATTTCAGGCCTGTCATAACAGGTATATTTCAGACCTGTCAGAACCGGTATTTTTCAGGCTTGTCAGAACCGGCATATTTCAGACTTGTCAGAATCGGCATATTTCAGACTTGTCAGAACCTGTATATTTCAGGCTTGTCAGAACCCGTATATTTCAGGCCTGTCATAACAGGTATATTTCAGGCCTGTCAGAACCGGTATTTTTCAGGCTTGTCAGAACCGGCATATTTCAGACTTGTCAGAATCGGCATATTTCAGGCTTGCCAGGACCTGTATATTTCAGGCTTGCCAGAACCGGTATATTTCAGGCTTGCCAGAACCGGTATATTTCAGGCTTGTTAGAACCTGTGTGACAAGGAAATATTATCTTACGTATTTTCAGGCCTGTCAGAACCTGTGTCAACAGGAAACCTTGCTCACAGACTGTGGGTGCTATGACATGAACCAGCAAGAGATTTTCTACATAGCTGGCATCACCGATAAGGAAGTGTGCAACACTACTGCAGAACTCGCATGCCAACATTCAGTCTATCAAAAACTTGCGGATAAAATCATCCCATGTAAATGTGAACAAGAATGCAGGTATGTAATCATATTAAGTTACATTGTATAAAAGCTGCTTCCGGAGTATTGGTGGAGACAAACCAATTAAATTAAAAGAAAAATTGGCTTTAGTATTCAAAAATCCACCATTGGTATGTCCAGCACATGTTGTGTTCCCAAACGTTTGCGTTGACACATTGCTGCGACAGAGAAGGAAAACTGTACAATATAATGTAGTTCATTAACAGTATTTTTTTTTTTTTAATTAGTTTTTGCCGTACGCCCTGTATTATGTACATGTGCAATTTCAAAGTAGATACAATGTATTGCAAATAATCATATATGTGAAACAATGCACACGTTTGTATTTCGAAAATGAATTTTCCTCCTTTGCAATATATATATATTGTTTTGGTATCTAGGGAGGTCCACTACAAGCGTGGCGTCAGTACCCGCCAATGGCCGACACGGGACTACGCGGTACGTACACTATATGTAACTTTGTCTACGTCTATCGTCACAGGAATAAAGGTCAACTTCACATCACCAAGTAAATGTCGTTCACAGTTGGCAAAGTTTTTTGAGGAAGCGTATTTTGTCGAACTCTTGCAAAACTTATTATGATACCATACCATGACCATGGTATTCAAAGCAAATTAGATTAACGTGTCGTTAACGGAGGCTTTCAAAATATGACTTTTGAGAGCAATCTAAATATTTACAAGTATATTTGTTTTAGTTGTCGCTATATGATAATTTTGTTTTAAATTGCGATATTTTTGAAGATTTACTAGTTTATTATTTCGCTTCAAGCTGTCATTGTCATGGGTTAGGGTTAAATGAGATTTAAATATGCCTTCAATTATGTTATTCACGGTGCCTTACTAGCGAAGTTCCAGCTATAAAAGTAGAATTCTCAATGTAATTTACCCTCAAAATTAAAAAGCATCTCTCTTTCACGAGTCAGCCCAACGTACTGTCCGTCATGCGCAGTGGAGAGGTTTATATGTATATATCATTATATTTATATACCATTATATATCATTATATATAAAGCTCAGATATTTTAACGAGACTTCTTGACAGTTTTTGCTTATGTAATTGAATATTTTCCCCCGTTTCGTTTTATTAGACAGTGCTAGTGCAAAGTATATGTGAAGATCCACGTAAGGTTCAGGATTGTCAGCATTTAGCTAACATAACAGACAAAGCCGAGTTAAGGTAAACTATCACTATTTGAATATATATGTACATAACGTGTTCATAAAAAATCAAACACTTTCGTTATACATGTAAATATTTCACATCTTTTATCACATGGAAAGGTATAATACGCTCTGTAAGATATTAATATAATGGGTATCTGATATAATCTAAGTGGATGTGCTCTGGGTATTGTTAAAATATGAAACAGCTCTGTAATTTGAAGGATGTATATAAGATGTCTGCAGAATCTTTAAAATGCGTGAAAGCTTTTGTATCTCCTCTCACGTTTTGATTCAATGCGTCAATTTCAAAAGGTGACTTTCCTTCAGAATAGAAAGGCGAAGGTATCTCCATGAACTCGTGAAGATCGAGTTGCAACAAAGTTTTACAATGTAGGTTGTCATAAAAGTAGAGCTACAACACACAGGTTGGTTTACAAACACTCACAATGTAGGTTGTGTTACAGGTCGGGTAACAGTAGACAGTTACCGTAGGTTGTGCTACAGGTCGGGTTACACTAAACAGTTACTGTAGGTTGTGCTTCAGGTAGACAGTTACCGTAGGTTTTGCTACAGGTTGGATTACAGTAGACAGTTACCGTAGGTTGTGCTTCAGGTAGACAGTTACCGTAGGTTTTGCTACAGGTCGGGTTACAGTTGACAGTTACTGTAGTTGTGCTACTGGTCAGGTAACAGGAGACAGTTAGCGTAGGTTGTGCTACAGGTTAGGTTACAATAGACGGTTACTGTAGATTGTGATACAAATCGGGTTACAGTAGACAGTTACTGTAGGTTGTGCTACAGGTCGGGTAACAGTAGACAGTTATATAATACTGTAGCTTGTGCTACAGGTCGGGTTACAGTAGACAGTTAATGTAGGTTGTACTACAGATCGGGTTACAGTAGACAGTTACTGTAGGTTGTGCTACAGGTTGGGTTACAATAGACGGTTACTGTAGATTGTGCTACAGATCCGGTTACAGTAGACAGTTACTGTAGGTTGTGCTACAGGTCGGGTTACAGTAGACAGTTACCGCAGGCTGTGCTACAGGTTGGGTTACAGTAGACAGTTACCGTAGGTTGTGCTGCAGGTCGGGTTACAGTAGACAGTTACCGTAGAATAGACGGTTACTGTAGATTGTGATACAAATCGGGTTACAGTAGACAGTTACTGTAGGTTGTGCTACATGTTAGGTTACAGGAGACAGTTACTGTAGGTAGTGCTACAGGTCGGGTTACAGTAGACAGTTACCGATATAATACTGTAGCTTGTGCTACAGGTCGGGTTACAGTAGACAGTTACAGTAGGTTGTGCTGCAGGTCGGGTTATAGTAGACAGTTACTGTAGGTTGTGCTACAGGTTGGGTTACAATAGACGGGTACTGTAGATTGTGCTACAGATCCGGTTACAGTAGACAGTTACTGTAGGTTGAGCTACAGGTCGGGTTACAGTAGACAGTTACCGCAGGCTGTGCTACAGGTTGGGTTACAGTAGACAGTTACAGTAGGTTGTGCTGCAGGTCGGGTTATAGTAGACACTTACCGTAGGTTGTGCTACAGGTCAGGTTACAGTAGACAGTTGCCGTAGATTGTGCTACAGGTCGGGTTACAGTAGACAGTTAAAGTAGGTTGTACTACAGATCGGGTTACAGTAGACAGTTACCGCAGGTTGTGCTACAGGTCGGGTTACAGTAGACAGTTAAAGTAGGTTGTACTACAGATCGGGTTACAGTAGACAGTTACCGTAGGTTGTGCTGCAGGTCGGGTTATAGTAGACAGTTCCCGTAGGTTGTGCTACAGGTCGGTTTACAGTAGACAGTTACTGTAGGTTGTGCTACAGGTTGGATTACAGTAGACACTTACCGTAGGTTGTGCTACATGTCGGGTTACAGTAGACAGTTACCTTAAGTTGTGCTAAAGGTCGGGTTACAGTAGACGCTTACCGTAGGTTGTACTACAGGTCGGGTTACAGTAGACAGTTACCGTAGGTACAGATCCGGTTACAGTAGACAGTTACTGTAGGTTGTGCTACAGGTTGGATTACAGTAGACACTTACCGTAGGTTGTGCTACATGTCGGGTTACAGTAGACAGTTACCTTAAGTTGTGCTAAAGGTCGGGTTACAGTAGACGCTTACCGTAGGTTGTACTACAGGTCGGGTTACAGTAGACAGTTACCGTAGGTACAGATCCGGTTACAGTAGACAGTTACTGTAGGTTGAGCTACAGGTCGGGTTACAGTAGACAGTTACCGATATAATACTGTAGCTTGTGCTACAGGTCGGGTTACAGTAGACAGTTAAAGTAGGTTGTACTACAGATCGGGTTACAGTAGACAGTTACCGTAGGTGGTGCTACAGGTCGGGTTACAGACAGTAGACAGTTACCGTAGGTTGTGCTTCAGGTCGGGTTATAGTAGACAGTTACCGTAGATTGTGCTTCAGGTTGGATTACAGTTAACAGTTACTGTAGGTTGTGCTACAGGTCGGGTAACAGTAGACAGTTACCGCAGGCTGTGCTACAGGATGGGTTACAGTAGACAGTTACCGTAGGTTGTGCGACAGGTTAGATTACAGTAGACAGTTACAGTAGGTTGTGCTACAGGTTGGATTACAGTAAACAGTTACCGTAGGTTGTGCTACAGGTTGGATTACAGTAGACACTTACCGTAGGTTGTGCTACAGGTCGGATTACAGTAGACAGTTACCGTAGGTTTTGCTACAGGTCGGGTTATAGTAGACAATTACCGTAGGTTGTGCTACAGGTCGGGTTACAGTAGACACTTACCGAAGATTGTGCTACATGTCGGGTTACAGTAGACAGTTACCGTAGGTTGTGCGACAGGTTAGATTACAGTAGACAGTTACTGTAGATTGTGCTTCAGGTTGGATTACAGTTAACAGTTACTCTAGATTGTGCTACAGATCGGGTTACAGTAGACAGTTACCGTAGGTTGTGCTGCAGGTCGGGTTATCGTAGACAGTTACCGTAGGTTGTGCTACAGGTTGGGTTACAGGAGACAGTTACTGTAGGTTGTGCTACAGGTCGGGTAACAGTAGACAGTTACCGCAGGCTGTGCTACAGGTTGGGTTACAGTAGACAGTTACCGCAGGTTGTGCTACAGGTCGGGTTACAGTAGACACTTACCGTAGATTGTGCTACATGTCGGGTTACAGTAGAGAGTTACCGTAAGTTGTGCTAAAGGTCGGGTTACAGTAGACGCTTACCGTAGGTTGTACTACAGGTCGGGTTACAGTAGACAGTTACCGCAGGCTGTGCTATAGGTTGGGTTACAGTAGACAGTTACCGTAGGTTGTGCTGCAGGTCGGGTTATAGTAGACAGTTACTGTAGGTTGTGCTACAGGTTGGGTTACAATAGACGGGTACTGTAGATTGTGCTACAGATCCGGTTACAGTAGACAGTTACTGTAGGTTGAGCTACAGGTCGGGTTACAGTAGACAGTTACCGCAGGCTGTGCTACAGGTTGGGTTACAGTAGACAGTTACCGTGGGTTGTGCTGCAGGTCGGGTTATAGTAGACAGTTCCCGTAGGTTGTGCTACAGGTCGGTTTACAGTAGACAGTTACTGTAGGTTGTGCTACAGGTTGGGTTACAATAGACGGGTACTGTAGATTGTGCTACAGATCCGGTTACAGTAGACAGTTACTGTAGGTTGTGCTACATGTCGGGTTACAGTAGACAGTTACCTTAAGTTGTGCTAAAGGTCGGGTTACAGTAGACTCTTACCGTAGGTTGTGCTACAGGTCGGGTTATAGTAAACAGTTACCGTAAGTTGTGCTAAAGGTCGGGTTACAGTAGACGCTTACCGTAGGTTGTGCTACAGGTCGGGTTACAGTAGACACTTACCGTAGATTGTGCTACATGTCGGGTTACAGTAGACAGTTACCGTAAGTTGTGCTAAAGGTCGGGTTACAGTAGACAGTTAATGTAGGTTGTGCTACAGGTCGGTTTACAGTAGACAGTTACTGTAGGTTGTGCTACAGGTTGGATTACAGTAGACTGTTACCGTAAGTTGTGCTATAGGTCGGGTTACAGTAGACAGTTAATGTAGGTTTTGCTATAGGTCGGGTTACAGTAGACAGTTACTGTAGATTGTGCTACAGGTCAGGTAACAATAGAGAGTTATTGTAGGTTGTGCTACAGGTCGGGTTACAGCAGACAGTTATTGTATGTTGTGCTACAATTGGAATAACAGCAGACGGTTAATGTAGGTTGTACTACAGGTCAGGTTACAGTAGACAGTTACCGTAGGTTGTACTACAGGTTGGGTTACAGCAAACAGTTACTGTAGGTTGTGCTACAGATTGGATTACAGTAGACAGTTACCGTAGGTTGTACTACATGTCGGGTTACACATGACAGGTTCTTGTATGCTTTGTTCTCCATTCAGTTTGTGTTACCATTACAGTACCAAGAGACAGACTTTCAGTAACGGTTTACCTGTCAATGGTAAATCGGCATTTTGTATACTACTTTAAACATCTATATCAACATTAAGATTTCATTTGTAAGCAATAGTCAGAAAGGGACTCGCAAAAGTACAAACATTACTTGACAGTATTTTGTTTCTGTTACTTGACAGGGAAAACTTCATCAAACTGGTGGTTTATTTTGAGGAACTTAACTACGAAAAGATAATGGAGAGTCCAGCAATTGAGGTAATCAAATCGACCAAACTTAACATATATGTGATTCTATTCTTAACACAATCGACACATATTTACGAGTTAAACAATTAACAGCTATATTTATATCGTTTGTCTCGATTTCAAAACGTAATTGACCAAAACACTCCTACTGTAAATCAAAACACTAACACCAGAGCGTGTATTTTCGACATTTACGTTCAGTAACAGGTGGATCAACATTCATTTTGGGAATCACCTAAGTTCGTGCAGAAAACTCTACATATTGCCAATTTATTTGTTTGCTCTTGATAGACATAAATATGTACTACATCACTGCATGTAGAGTATATCGTTTCAGTCCAAGTCGTGTATTTGTCCTGTCTTTGTAAGAAATCCCCGTACAATGATGTCTGTCAGAGGTCCAATTGCCGCATCCACGATATCCAGGGGTCACGCTCACGTTCGATCTCTGTGTCCATGGAATATGTCATGGCAAAATTGAAGGCTCAGTGTGCGCCACCTTGTTGACAAGACATACATTAAAAGAATCGCGCAGTCACGTAACGGTAAAAATTGACAGGCTTTGAAGTCGGGCGTCTCTTCTTTGTAATCTTCAAAGGACAGGTATCAGCCCAGCGATTGGTCAGTTTTTTTAACTGAGACCAATCAAACAACTATCTTCGTGCCTTCAATTTGCTATGACATATTCCAGGGGTATAGAGAGCGATAATGAGCGTAACTCGTTGATATCGAGGATGATGTACAGTGGTCCTCTGTATGATTTCTTGTGAAAAAGTTCACAAATGTAATAAAGCTTAGTCGAAGTGAGTATATGATCTTCAATTATCCGTTTATTAACGATAAGATATACCATTTTCATTTTATTGGCGTATCAACTCTTGTGTTGCATATATATCTATATAAACAAATTACCATCACGAAATCGGCCATACTATTGTAAATTCTCGTTTACTTGTAGGTTGCTCAATTTGCGTCTGATTTTGGAGGAGCCATCGGACTGTGGATAGGCTTATCGTTGTTGAGTATTTTTGAAATCGTCCAACTTCTAGTAGAGATTTGTGACTGGGGTTGCTACAACTGTATTGAGAGAGAGTAGCCCGTCAAACGTGACCGCAGAAGTCAGCACCATAAACACAACGATAGGCATACGTTTGTACCGTATACCTTTGGTGAAGGAAGGCAAAATGGAAGACGCTATCTCGACCACCAACAAACCCCGTATATATATTCATATACTATTGAAGGAGAACGGAAGAAGTCACTGTTAATTACCGGTACTCCTAACATTAATGCCATAACATTGTATTCGCTACCATATCAAACTCACCCGTCGATTGGCCATCCTCGATAGCCAGGGGTTACGCTCACTTTCGCTCTCTACATCCTAAATACTGACAATAAAGGAGAGGTTTGACTACTTAACATAGTTGTGCTTGTTCCTTTTTACAAACTTACAACACAGGGTTTCGGGGGATGCAGCATTAATTAAGACTATGGGCAAGTCCCATGATTGTCATCATGATATTATTGGGAAATATTATGTGTTCTTGTGCAATTTAAATTCGACGGTATTTATTGTAATGCCTTGCGGTTTCGTGAATTGTCATTTCGCCAGTTTTCACTTTAAGGGAGGACCAAACGTTTTAACAATAAGTCGGGAATTATGTGGCTTCCTTGTAATACTGGTATATATTATACAATGTATATATAAACAACATACATATTGTTTTATATATGTTTATCAACATGTTTGGTTAAACTGGTTATGAAGACATTTTTTCAAATTATTTTTCTATGTGACGTCGTTGTAAGTACGATGTCACGTGATAGCAATACATACTATGTTATGTGAAATCCTCAGAACTGGGTATAGTACAATAAATACAATGTATGAAGATAAACGTATTGGTCCAATCAGTACATTAACACTGTGATGTTGGACTGTTGGTCCTATGATAACGATATCACATGACCATCAGTCCTATAAGTGCTTTGTAGTGTTGTTACATTAGTTCCCTATACTCACTGTATCACGTGATTATCAGTCCTTCATGTATAAGTACTATATAGTGATGTTAAAAAATTAAAAAGTGGTACTATGGCCCTTTTACGTTCTGGGGCACATCAATGCGCACTAAACCCATTAAATGTTGCTAAAATTGTAAAAATTAAAATCTTTCCGTCTGCACTTTACGGTTGTGCACTCTGGGTACTTTTAAATACTGAGTTATTGATGTAAGGGAGAGCCAAACATTTTATTGTTAAGCCAATCCAAGGTTTCGGAAAAAGAACAAGAACTGATAAGGGTACTTCTTTAATCGGATGGGTTTTTATAGAGGCGTATATCGATATCAAAAAGCTTTTGTTTTAGGCAGGATCAGCAGAATGAAAAGAAGTAACTTAATCTGCAGAGTGTTCATTTTGAGATATTTTATGTATAAAGTTAATAGATATAGTCAAAAAGGTTACATACCAGACATTGTCAGATTACTAAAGAAGTATAATCTTTATGAATACATTATACAATTTCTAGATGATGGTGTTTTTCCCAAATAAAATGTATTGGAAGTCATTGATTTATAAATCCGTAACATATTATGAAACTAATACATGGATGCAAAGAATGTCTAATGACACAGACTTTACACGATTTTTATTGCTACATGAGTGTCTCAAACCTCATTATTTATGGAAAATAGCCTTGCGTCACCCAAATTTTCTTGACAATATCGGATATATAATGAAAATGATTGTATCGATACGTGTAAGTAACATACAACTTTTATGTCATCATTGTGGCTATTTCTTCACAGATTTTTTATCTCATGTGATTCTGCATTGTTCTGTAACAGAAAATCTTCGTGACAATTTACAGTGTAGTAATTGCCTGCATTTCAAGTATTGAACTCAGTTCATATCTGCATTCACTGCCTGACTATTCAGTTATTCACGTTTTACTAGGAGGCAAATTGACCTATAATTCAAATGAAATTGATTTAGAAGAATTTAGACTAGAATCCGTATATGCGATAAAAAGAATATTTGACTTATACACGTAATAATAATTATTATAATAATGTCTTACAATTACTTGCCTTTTTAATACAAGGAAAAGTGAGCGTAACTCCTGGATTATCGAGGATGGTGCCCCTGTCCCACTTTACCCCATTAGATAGGTTCGCCATATGAAGAATGTAAGAGTAAGGAGGTTGTGCCGAGGATATGGGAGCTTTCTATTCTGTATCACCTGGATGTTCTCTTGTAGATGTATTCATTGAACGCCAAAATAATATATTCAAAAGTGGTCAAAAGAGCATACACTTTTTTCTAATCGAATTAAGTGAAAGAGCTATGGCGGGTTGCTATGCCTATTTCCCCAAATCTATGACCCGCTAGTGCGCGCGTCCAACCTTGCACTGTTATGAGGTTACCTCTATCGTAATCCCGTATCTAAGAATAGATTATTGTAAACAGACGAATTTAAGGTCATGGCTATAAATACATGTGTTTCACGATAAAGACTCAACAAAATGCTTAGTTCGCGTTATGCTGTATAAAAACACAAGATCGTACAATCATTACCAAGTTTGAAAAGATGTAATTCTCATTACTATTGCCTACGTCATGCCGTTACATGTTTTCTTAAAAAGCACGAATTTTGATTTTGTTCTTCCCGTACCCTGGAAAGGTAAAACTACATACAGTTTTCGAAAAGCATGTCTTACACGTGTATTGCGCTCCTAACTTTGTGCGGCAGTCTTTTAAATGAGACTGTCCTCGACGATAAATTTCCCGCATGTTCGGTAATATTTTGCGATAATAACATTTTTTATTTTTGCTTTGCCTTTTTTTTTTATTCTGACGCAACAATCCCGTATATTTTGTATTTCGGCATCATTTTTTTTGTGTTTAGATAATAAATAAAAATACTAGTGCCAATTGGAGGGTAAAACAATTCATAAAACAAAGCGTAGCTGTACTGTACACGTGTACAGGGATTAGTTAACATGATCCCATAGAAGATAAATCAATAGGTATGTTATTAAAATATCAATAAAATGTTCCATTGATTTGAAAACTATTTTTCACTTTACTAAGGAAAAATGATCACTTGCCTAAATATTAAAAAAGAAAGAAGAAAAAAGGTGAATCTGAATGTGAATTCAAACCTACACCGTTCATATTTCTGATCAAAAGCTGACTGCGTTACACATTAGGCTACACCGGACATAGACGAACATGGAACATCCGTCGCAGTTTTGAAAACTTGATCAACCCTGTTTTTCATTAGTTTGAGCACTTTCCCAAAGGAGGACCACTTTTCTGTCATACCATTTGTGTTTGCATATTACATCACGGAATCAAAAAATGTATTCAAAAGTTGGTCCTTGGATGGGAAAGTATTAAAAGTATTTTTTTTAAGTCTGGGAAAGCCCGTCACTTTTATAGATATAGTGAATATGGCTTTCTACCACAATACGCTGTGTTATTCCACTCTCACACGCAGACTGTTAGATAAATATAAGTTATATACCATGCGGGGTATATGACATTCAATTAACGTCCTATCAACAGCTATGGTCATTTAACTCCCCTATGTGCAAGATGCATGCGTTGTAGTGTATGCGTGTGTGGTTTGGGAGGCTGCGATATGTACGTGTTTGTTCCCTTGTGATAGCGCGAAACTGATGCCGACATTATAGTGCTACCTCACTAAAACATATTGCCGAAGACACCCAGCAGGACACCCCACTCGGTCACATTATACTGACAACGGGCGAACCAGTCGTCCCTTTCCCTAAATTGCTGAGCGTTAAGCAGGAGTAGAAACCATTTTTACAGACTCTTGTATATCTTGGCCAGGGGACAGTACCCAAAGCCTTCAGCTTCCTCACAGGGGCGAACGCTCAACTATAGGCCAAAAGTGAGGCATTGTCAAGGGAGACATAAGGAAGGAGAAAGTTGTTTAGAAAGAAGAGAAGAGTTAATATCCCATATTTAGTCACCTCTTGCGATCATGCAATGGGGGCAGCAGGTACAATTCGTACGCCCTACCTGCAGGTACCGGTAAGGAGGGTACACACAAACTGATTGTCGGACGGTGGACACGCAGATGATACGAGAACTTAGAATGGGTAACACGATAGTGGCGTTGATGACAATGGCACAAAACAATAACTGCCTTAACAGCTAAGATAATTTTTTGATAGGTAGTATTTTAACAAACAAAATAATCATTTGATAAAAAAACAAATCGTTGCGTTCTTCCCGGCAGCGTATAATTTAAAACGTAAAAAATACCCAGAAAAACTGGCTAAATATAGGCAAAATGGCAAATTCTTTCACTTTCTTGCCTTTACTTGAATGCTCGTAATATAATACAAGATACAAAAATGTAATAGTAAGATTGACGAGTAACCTTGGAGCAAGCAATACTCCTTGCTTATCTATTGCAGACTCCATTATAATGTACATGCACAAATTACTACACAGTACAAAAACTGAGTTTCGAGTGCAAACTTTAACCTAAATATTTGGGACTATATGTATATATACTGGGATTTCATTCCAATTCCATTTTAATTGTCATATGTCAGGGAGAACGCCTTGTTTAATCCTTATTAAACTCAGTGTGTATGAGTGATGATGTACCTCCTGTATGCTTAACCTCTCTTTGATAGGTACCCACACTTCTTTAGTTTTTTGTCCGTTTAAATAGTTTAATTTAACTGTTTGTATGTACTACGAGTTACTTTCCATCTTTACACTGCCCCTCGGCATATAAAGTTAGACAGATATTTGTTATTCCCAATAAATACTTGCTATACGTACTCCCACGTCCGTTCCGCTCTCGTTTGCTACCTAATTTATCGTTGACCTTTTGGCCCAATATTTAATGAAGATCAGTTTAAATTTTTACATGATTGAGAGGTATTGATTATATCTATCCGACCGATACAGAGGTGCTTTTAACAAAGACACGAGTGTGTACCCGGGAATAGGGACAATATCATTCATCCATCTTAAGTATCCATGTCCCGCCGAAGGCAAAAACACTAGATAACTCCGCTTGGGTTTTCGTATATACAGTAACTTCCCTTTAATTTCGTTTGGGATATCACTGTAGTACAACTTAGTCAAGGGCAGATCCGTTGACCGACTAGCTTCATTGATAAGAGTGACAGTACATATAATAATAATAAAATAAAAATAATTCGAGGTTCTTATATACCGCTTTATCACAACCTAGTTCGTAGGTCGTCTCAAAGCGGTTCACAAATTATTATCCGTGGTTATAGGGCTTTTGCAACCAGCCAATATCTTTCTCAAATCAATGGGAAGCATACAGCCGGTACTGCCATTTTGGCGCTCAAATCTAGCATTCTACAATTATAGCACTGCCCAACCACGTACGCATTTATAGCTGAGTAGACTGGAACAAACGGAATAAAGTATCTTGCTCAAAGATACAAAACAGTGCCATGCCGTGACTCGAACTCGCTACTCTTCGGTAACAAGCCCGGCGTCCTACCACTTGACTACCGTGTTTTCCATATAACAGTTGGAGGTTCGGGATTCGAATCCTGGTCTAAGATTATTGTTAACATTCAGACCACTGTTGATTATTTTTTTGTTTATCTTTATTATTTTTATTAATGTCTCACAAGGTAATGGTATTCTTTACAAAATTGATTAATAACCACAATATCAAATATCGTTGATTGTTTTCTATATTTGTACAAGTGTACGACTGTTTCCCGTTTCCGCCGGCGCTGAAGACAAGTACTTCTACAAATTTAAGTACAATTCAATAATAAAACCACAGATATCTGATCGTCAAGTGACAAACTGTATACCCACAAATTATAAATGCAATGACATGTCCTAAGCCATTTTAAAATTAAATCACAGGTCACGTTTTTCTGAAAAATATCATTGCCTATCATTTTTCTTTCATTTAAATTCTTTATCCATGTGAAACGCGACCTCCTTCAGCAGACATGATACCGTTTCCTGCCAAAACACAAGCCATTTCGATGTTTAATCAATATTTTCCCCTGTTGTTGTTTCAAATCGGTGTATTTTAATGAGGATAGCGTCAGGCTCGTACAGGTACACACGTCTTTATCAGCAAGACCATTCTTACACATCAGCATATGCCCGAACATGACTACTAGCTGTAACAAGTTATCAGGTCCCTGTGGCTTTTGGTCCGGTGCTTAACACTGCAGCCAAGTGTGTGGGTATGTTTTAGAATAGATGATTAAGTACAACATTCAGCAGATACCTGCAAAGAAACTGTCTTGACATGTGAACTGTTTGGTATCACAGAATTGTATTAAAGTTGAATGGCCAAGATAAGTCACAGCTCTTCATTATAAACACTTATCCTATAGTTTGTTTGAGTGGTGTTATGCTAACCTCACTACCGTGTAGCCCCGTTGTCCAGTTGTCCAGCAGACGTCAAAAAGAAAAGGTAGGAAGGTGAATATAAATGTATATAGCGAGACGAGAAGGCACTGAGGGGGGTGAAGGTGGAATATCGTACTGTTAAATTGCGACAGTTTAAATACAGCCGAGAGATGTGACTGACACTAGGCTATCACTAATTGGCCAATCGTCGGGGAATAGGTGCTCTCCAGTTGCAATGATTACTTACTGTCGCTGTGAATTTCACATACTAGTGTATTGAGTGACCATTCACCCATTCAACACCTTACCTGTATATAGGAAAATACCAAATGTATGCTACGTGAGACGACACCCACACATGCCCACTCTCACCAAAAATCGTCAAACTAAGCATCTGTCACTCCTTTGTATCACTTGATCAACTCCATATAAGGTCCATAGGCTTAGCAGCAGGTTTACCTATGTGATATAGCGAGGACCACTGGCGTGTGTCCGTCCCAACAGTAAAGCAGGGGTACATGTGTACGGTGAGAAAATATATGTCTGAGCAGAACGTATACCTGTCAAACGGTGTAACGAAGCGAAGAGTAAAGTGCTTTAATGCATAGGGGATAACAGACGGTCTACCCATTAACGAGTTTATACATTCTAATTCAATTCGTAGAGAAGTAACGGACATTTATCTCCGTCGCCTCAACAAGTCAGTCTGGTACCAAGAACATGGTAAGTAGTTAAATTACTTGTCTCCATAGATTTCCTCGCATTAGTTTGAGAACACACTAGCTATATCATTTTCTGTTATTTTATTTTTTTCCAGATTTCAATTTCAAACGATTTATTGTAAGTACATAGATATGTACAAACAATACGTATAAACTACATGTAAAGCCGGGGTCTAAAATAACTCAATATAAGTATATGGCAAAGCCTTACTTACATGTTTTGTAAGTACAGGTGTTTTGTACATAGATCTATACAAACAGTACATATACATGTGGTTACGCACAGTTTTTAAATGAAAGGCCATGGACTTAGATAATTTAGTCTTATTCTATGTTAAAACACAATTATGACATCATTCGTTTTACTTTATAATGAACAATGAAAACAAAGGATGGCGTGTGTTCGTCCCAACAGTAAAGCAGGGGTACATGTGTACGGTGAGAATATATGTCTGAGCATAACGTATCCCTGTCAAACGGTGTAACGAAGCGAAGAGTAAAGTGCTTTAAGGTATAGGGGATAACAGACGGTCTACCCATTAACGAGTTTATACATTGTAATTCAATTCGTAGAGAAGTAATGGACATTTATCTCCGTCGCCTCAACAAGTCAGTCTGGTACCAAGAACATGGTAGGTAGTTAAATTACTTGTCTCCATAGATTTCCTCGCATTAGTTTGAGAACACACTAGCTATATCATTTTCTGTTATTGTATTTTTTCAGATTTCAATTTCAAACGTTATATTGTAAGTACATAGATATGTACAAACAATACGTATAAACTACATGTAAAGCCGGGGTCTAAAATAACTCAATATAAGTATATGGCAAAGCCTTACTTGCATGTTTTGTAAGTACAGGTGTTTTGTACATAGATATATACAGACAGTACATATACAGGTGGTTACGTACAGTTTTTAAATGAAAGGCCATGGACTTAGATAACTATTTTGTTTTCGATAGAAAGGCCTTACTTACATGTAGATATATACAGACAGCACATATACAGGTGGTTACGTACAGTTTTTAAATGGAAGCCACGAACTTGGATAACTCAGTCTTATTCTATGTTAAAACACAATTATGACATTATCCGTTTTACTATATAATGAACAATGAAAACAAAGGATGGCGTGTGTCCGTCCCAACAGTAAAGCAGGGGTACATGTGTACGGTGAGAATATATGTCTGAGCATAACGTATACCTGTCAAACGGTGTAACGAAGCGAAGAGTAAAGTGCTTTAATGTATAGGGGATAACAGACGGTCTACCCATTAACGAGTTTATACATTGTAATTCAATTCGTAGAGAAGTAACGGACATTTATCTCCATCGCCTCAACAAGTCATTCTGGTACCAAGAACATGGTAAGTAGTTAAATTACTTGTCTCCATAGATTTCCTCGTTACGTATTAGTTTGAGAACACACTAGCGATATCATTTTCTGTTGGGTTTTTTTCCAGATTTCAAATTCAAACGATTTATTGTAAGTACATAGATATGTACAAACAATACGTATAAACTACATGTAAAGCCGGGGACTAAGATAACTCAATATAGTTATATGGCAAAGCTTTACTTACATGTTTTGTAAGTACAGGTGTTTTGTACATAGATATATACAGACAGTACATATACAGGTGGTTACGTACAGCTTTTAAATGAAAGGCCATGGACTTAGATAACTATTTTGTTTTCGATAGAAAAGCCTTACTTACATGTAGATATATACAAACAGCACATATACAGGTGGTTACGTACAGTTTTTAAATGAACTTAGATAACTCAGTCTAATTCTATATTAAAACACAATTATGGCATCATCCGTTTTACCATATAGTGTACAATGAAAACAAAGGATGCTGTCATAACTGTATTAAGTTGGAGAAAAGCCTCAAACTGTCCATTCTCACACAGAATGGACCGTTTTCGGCCATTCTCCTTGAAGTAAAGCCCAGGACAGCATCTATATTTCCTAGGCTTTTGGTTCCAGTGTTCGGCTATGTAGCTACTATGATGCATTTCATATTAAGTGACTTTCGTAAAGGAGTTACCGATGAATAGGTAGTTATGCTTTTACGAATATGTATTTGTCCTCTCACCACTATTACGCAAACACAACAATAAAACAAAAAAAAACATTTGCCGTACTAGCCCGTGCGCCTTTAGAGCGAGGCGTTTAATATTTTTACAAAATGAAACAAGATGACAATATTCATTCGATAATCTGCATAATTCAATGTGCATGTTGCAATATGTAATTGAATCAAGTTTCATTAAATTCTGTTGAGGAATGAAGTCGATAGAGCGATGACAAAGCTTTTCGTAAAACAGTTCCAGTGACCTTGACCTTCAACGTGGAAACCCGAAACGCAAACTTGTTCATGGCATTGGCATACCAAATACTTGTATGACGTTTAATGAAATTCCGTTGAGGAATGAAGTCGCTAGAGCGATGACAATGGTTTTTTTCTCTCTAAAACTAGTAACAGTGACCTGGATCTTCAACGCAGTAAACCGAACGCGAATTTGTTCAATGTATTGCCATATTAAACAATTGTATGAAGGTTCATGGAATTCCGTTGAGAAACAGAGTCGGTAGAGCAATGACAACGTTTTTCTGAAAATAGTAACAGTGACCTTGACCTTCAATGTAGAAATCCGAAACGCGACATTGTTCAAAGCATTGCCATACCAAACAATGAGTAATTTAATTTGCACACAAATAAGGTACACATTAAAAATCACATTCGCCTTTCACCAATGCAAACGGGGTTCGGTTCCCCGATAGGACATGAACAGGTACGGGGTCACCTGCCCGACCACGTGGGCTTTATCCGGGTACTCCGGTTTCCTCCAACATTAAGACCCCGCGAGCTAATATCCGGGACAACAAGAGTGATTTATATCAGTTGAAATGACTTGTTTTATAATTTTTGTAAAATAAATTATGTTTACAACCCTCAGTAAATAACAGTGGCCAAAACTATGCCGATCTACATCGTGGAATTATCATTGTTCCACTATGTAGTTCCATCCTTTAGTTTGTTTACTGTTTTACAAACTGCACCTGCCAATCATCACAATCGGTACATCTACTCAGAAAATCAGCCGCGGTGTTCTGACCCCTAGGGAGCCATTTCGAAAAAACATTTGTGCCTCGTGTTCCAGACAAAAATCGTTTAAAGTACAATAGACATACACGTCTTGGTGCTAACACTTAATTGCATATAAACACATTTTTGGCACTAAATGAGTAATTTAATTTGCACACAAATTAGATACTTAGACAGATAAAATGACGGTACACTGTATCATTTTGAAAGGAAGATGCCTTTTATTTATTCATTCAGTGTACAATATCTCAAAGTAGTATATTGCATGTTCGCGTATTCGAGTACTATCAAAACAATGTATCCGTGTACCTTTATCATTATCATTCAGTGTATCGAGCGTATAACTTTTAATCCATCTTACAAACTCGTCGTTTCAAATTTTACAACGAAAATAAGTTGTAACCCCATAATGATATACAGTGTGCAAAATTGAACCCTCATCAATATATACAATGTATATATAACTTGTATCCGTATCAATATATACAATGTATATATTAGTTGTATCCTTATCAATATATACAATGTATATATAACTTGTATCCTTATCACTATATATAATGTATATATAACTTGTACCCTCATCAATATATACAATGTATATATAACTTGTACCCTCATCATTATATATAATGTATATATAACTTGTACCCTCATCAATATATATAATGTATATATAACTTGTACCCTCATCAATATATATCATGTATATATAACTTTATCCTTATCAATATATACAATGTATGTATAACTTGTACCCTCATCAATATATATCATGTATATATAACTTTATCCTTATCAATATATACAATGTATGTATAACTTGTACCCTCATCAATATATATAATGTATATATAACTTGTCCCCTCATCAATATATATAACGTATATATAACTTGTACCTCATCAATATAAATAATGTATATATAACTTGTTCCCTCATCAATATATATAACGTATATATAACTTGTACCTCATCAATATAAATAATGTATATATAACTTGTCCCTTCATCAATATATATTATGTATATATAACTTGTACCCTCATCAATATATACAATGTTCATATAACTTGTATCCTCATCAATATATACAATGTATATATAACTTGTACCCTCATTAATATATACAATGTATATATAACTTGTACCCTCATCAATATATACAATGTATATATAACTTGTACCCTCATCAATATATTCTTGTTATATATACATTGCATGTATTGATAATGGTGCAAGTAATATATAAGTAGTTCATAGTCATGAGAGGACAGCATTAAGAGTGTGCATACACTAAACCATTCGTTTGTAATTCATGGCTTTTACTTTAAACGTTTATTTTTGCATTCATAAACATGTTCCGCACGTCGCCTCTGTTGTCCATAACCCAGGTAGGACACTAAGGATGCGAAGCGTACATTGTGTAGATCAGTTTTAGTTATATTCTTTGTTTAATTTACCAAACCGCAAATGTCTTCTGGTTGTAAAGAAACTATCGTATTCAGCATTCCATAACGTAAATACATAGGATATAATTCATTCAGAGTCATTGTAAAGGGTTTTATTCTCTGCTTCAGAGGCCTTGTATAGGGTTTTATTATCTACTTCAGAGGCCTTGTAAAGGGTTTTATTCTCTGCTTCAGAGGCCTTGTATAGGGTTTTATTATCTACTTCAGAGGCCTTGTATAAGGTTTTATTCTCTGCTTCAGAGGCCTTGTATAGGGTTTTATTCTCTGCTTCAGAGGCCTTGTATAGGGTTTTATTATCTACTTCAGAGGCCTTGTAAAGGGTTTTATTCTCTGCTTTAGAGGCCTTGTATAGGGTTTTATTATCTACTTCAGAGGCCTTAAATAGGGTTTTATTCTCTGCTTCAGAGGCCTTGTATAGGGTTTTATTCTCTGCTTCAGAGGCCTTGTAAAGGGTTTTATTCTCTGCTTTAGAGGCCTTGTAAAGGGTTTTCCACCAAACAGATTTTATTAACGCTTCATTTCTTACCATCCACCTACAACTATTTACAGAAGACTTTAAAAATAGAAAGTGGACGAATTTAAATCTGAAAAAAATAGTATTTATTATTTCTTTGGGTGAAATATTTTCGATAACTTGGTCTGACGTACTTCCGGCTAAATTGGAACAACTAATGTTTACTGTACCTCGCATACCTCACCATCACAGAAGGTGGCACAAAGGCTCTTCATTATAGTTTTTATTACTTTTAACATTTATGTTTTCAGTTTAATGCATATAGTTACACCAAGTTAATATTATACAATTATGGACTTCCGGTGAGGTTACGGAGTAGTTACTGTAAAAAATCACTCGTCAGGACGAGCGGACGAGCGGACGAGTGCTTTTGCCGGCCCCTGCACCGTGACACATTTATCAAATTAGTATGTCGTTGATTTAGTTTGTATAAAGTCTCAAGTAAGTTTGTACACGTTTTACAATTTGAGAACTGTACTGTCTCTCTGTTCAATAGTCTACATGTCGAAAAAAGTCCCGAAACGACCTGACACCCCCAAGAGGTTTAATTTTCTTAGGTTTAAAAGCTTTATAATAATCAATGCACAATTCACACTTCCAGTACTACGACGTATTTGACCTTTGACGTACAAGAATTAATTTTGACTCAAGCTTTCATACAATTCTCAATTGTTTGAAGATGAAGATCAAAGGAACAGAGTACTATTGAATAAATATATATATATTTCTACACTTATAGTGAAAGTGGAAGAGGGGAACAGGATCATGGTGATGATGTACATCAGATATTACAATTCCCTGTCAGACTTGGATCAAAAATGTTTACCAAAGCATGTCATTACATGTACATCATACATGTGCATTTCTTCATGATTAAAGACTGTGATAAAATGTATTTCTGTAAACAGAAGTTAATATTTGCTTGTTTTAGACACTCTAAATAACAATTAAGTTAGGAATTATTTGATAGGGATAGAGTTAATACTATTCGTCGGGGGGAGTGGAAATGGGTTACCAAGGGCTACTGGGCTGTTACATGAGACAACGCAATGTGATAGCAGACTGTTTGTCCAGGATGACATAAGCTTGATAAATGCACATTCTGGAGCAGGTAAAGTTACGACATTGGGTTTCTCTCCGACATTGGGTTTTCTCCGTTACAGCTGGTATCTAGTTTTAATTTGGGTTACTTTGTTTTTATCACTATGATTACTCTGTACAACAGATGTTGTTCATGGCAAAAAATATTTGTAAATATTACTAGGTAGGTGCGACATACTATCTAAGTATTGAGGAAGTATTTGTTTTATATATGAATTTTGAGCCAAAATTCAATAAATAAATTAAATACCTAATAAAGCATATATAACTATATATATAAATATGTAACAGGAAGTTGTTCGTTATGAATAATCAAGGAATGGGTCATCTTTTACAATGCTTAAATATTTTTTTTAAGTTTCTGTTGGGTTTTTAGCCCACCATCATCAATTCAAATCACCATGCGTCCGTGGTCCGTCGTCCGTCCTTAAACAATTCTTGTTATCGGTATTCCTCAATAAGGATCTTTCTCAAATTTTATATGTAGGTTCCCCTTTGTCCTTAGCTGTGCAGGGCGACTTTTGAGACTGATCGGATAAACAAAATGGCCCACAG